GGCTGGGGGCTTAAGCTGCAGAATGGAACTTAAACTTCTGCTTCTCTTCTGCCCTGACTTGCTGAATAGCCCTGAGAGCTGTTTGTTTGCCTCTGCAGGTCAGGCCATAATCAGGCCTGAAAAGCACCTCATTATCTCAGAAGGAGCTATCACAACTCCTATATTTTACTGTATGGAGTGAGATAGCAGGCTACCTGGGCTTTGGTCTGATTTAGGTCATTGTTCTCATGGGCAACAGTGTCCCTTTAGGAACAGCATAGTCCTGGTACAAGAGTTTCTTCTTCTCTGTGTGTCTGTTGTACTCAAGGTACTGTCGGGACCAAACAGCAGGCAATACAGTTCACTAGCACATGGCAAAAAACTTCCCCTAGCCTGAAAGCCAGATTTCCAGGGAAACTAAGGCATCTGGATCCCCCAGACCTTACAAGCACCAACTAGGACAGCACAGGAATTTCTGGTCCCACTGCAGAGGGGCCATCCACTGTATTTTAACTAGTGGGACAGAGATATGCAACTGGGTCTGACCACAAGCACCATTTAAACCTGACTTCAAAGAGAAAGGACAGAGGAAGAAAATAGCTCCTGGGTCTGCGACAGGATCTTACCAACGTGCAGAAGGCTGTCCAGCGAGGAGGGGGGCTGGGGTGTACTCCATGAAACCTGACAACCACGGGAAAGGCGAGTGAGATGTCCAAAAAGCTCAGCCTCATAACTAGACCAAAAATTCCATACTCTGCTACATCAGCAGCCTGCCTTTTTTATTACCTAACTTCTTCAGAAAAAGCGTTCTCTTGTTTTTCCCCATTCCCTCCCCTCTTACCCCAGAAAGGGTTTGGCTTTTTTGCCCCATAGTTTTACATGTCCATTGCCTAGTCAGGAGTTTTTATAACGTTAATGCTACCTTCCTATCGAGCATGCCTCATTCCCCAGTTCCTGCCTTAGAACGGACCTTCCCCAGGCAGCCATCTGGCACAGACTTTCTTACCCAGATCCAGGATATGCATGTCACTGAGATAGAGAGAAGTCCTCCGACCCCCAAAAATCAGCAGCTTGTTCTTCAGTAGAGTAGCTGAATGCCTGGGCAGAGAAGAAACAAGTGAACAAAGCACCTTCAGCAAGTTCCCAAAAGTGACACTTCAGCCTTTGCTTCTGCTATAGGGCTGCCATAGCTTCAGCCTCTACCCCCAGCCACGGCAGCCCAAGGACAGAATCCCATCAGGATTCATGACAGGAGGTACTGAGAGTCACATTGCTCAAAACATAGCCCTATCTTAAGGAGCAAACGGTAGAGAACAATCACTTAATATTTAGGAAATTACACTGGGGTGGGAGGGAAGGTAAGAAGGTTTCCTGCTCTATTTTGGAGGGCTGGAATAAGAGCACTCTCACCCAAGCCTAGGCAGAGGCTTCTCCCCTTCTGAGATGGGCTGATACCAAATTTCATGCTCTGGATTGAAGACATAGAGTGCATTGCTGCAGGGTTGAACTTCCAGTGATGCCTTTTTGTGGAAAGTCCCTCCGAAAACAAAGAGCTCCTTACGGTAAATAGTTGCACTGTGATAGGTGAGCACTGGCATCCTCCCTTTAGCCTGGAAAAAGTTCAACATACATTTGTTATGAGAAGTGCATTATTTGCTGCCTGACCCATAGGAAAGGGGCCCATGTCATGCAGTGAGTTCAACAAGTCTCAATTTTCGCTTTATTGGCTCCGCAGCCAGGTCTTTGCTACACAGGCAGACAGTACATACTTTCTGCACTCTGCACCACCAGAATGCTCTGATGAGAGAAGGAAGTCAACCTCCTGCCCCACCTTCCTCAGAAGACGACGGAAAACAGAAAAAGCTCATCCAGGCTTATTCTGTAAAAGCCATCTTGTGCCTTAGCCAAGAAAGAGACAGATAGTTCCTCGCTGACAAGGCCCTCTGCAAGGACATGACAGTCAACTACAGAGCTCAGAGATCTGCTGTACTCAGAGCAGTCCCCAATTTGAGAAGACCAGCTCTTCACCTCAGCATCCAGCACAGCTCTCAACAGCACCATATAAAGAGGCCATTTCCCTCTGCCACTTGTACAGTACCTCCCACCCACGACCTTCGTCAGACGCAGCACTGTGCAGCAAACATGTTTTCACCTTGTTTCATTCATTGTAGGTGCAGCCCCTGGTTTCTGCCAAGCTTGTGGCCTTTCAACACAGCCTTCTCTATCTGTCAATGCCATCTAAGCAGCTCAGAAAACCTGCAGCAACAGTGGACCAAGACTACTGGAATAAGGATATGGGCACATCTATTGTCACATTCAGGCAGGACCTGCCACCCCTCCCATGTTTTTGTCTTGGAAGAGCTGCAGTACTTACAGCCACAGGGAGCCATTTCCAGGTGACTGTGTCCAGAATGTAAATGCTGCTGTAGTCTTTGTCCTCCCTTATGCCCCCAAAGATGTAAATACGCTTGGTCTCTGGGTCGTAGGTAGCTGTGTGACCATGCAAGCGTGATGGCATGGCGTTTTGTAGCTGGAAACCCACTGGAAGCCAGAAATCACTGTCTGTGGGAGCAAGACCAAGACAGATGGTGTGGGATTTCAAAGATGCTTTCAATTTCTCCAGATTTAAAGAGTATCTTACAATCTTTACTCAAGACCTTGCTCCCTTCATCTCCTCCTCTCCTTTGATTCAGGGCTGGAGGGGACTCTCACAGATTTTTTTTCTGTGTAAGGAATGAAGGAGAACACTAACTACATAGGGAGTAGTAAGGTGGAAGAGAGGATCGGTGAGGTGCAGAAAGCTGCAGGGCACTGGAATTGTATCTAACACTTCTCCACCAGTCATCACACACAGACTGCAAATTGTGCTGTTGCTTTTACCCCTTAAAATTCACCCAACTCTTTCCAGAATTTATACCTTGGCTCCTGGAGGGCTCTTATATAAAACTCCACAGCCTCTCCTGGCACCCTATGCTGTCAGCTCAGCCTGATGACCATGCTAGGAGATGTGACACCTTTGTTGTCCCCTCCCTATGCACATACCCCTGAGTACTCCCTCCCATCTGCATGAGTTGTCCGCGAGTCCCACTGCGCCTATTGCCTTTTATAGCCCTGAAGTGCCCACCAGTTTCCAGTTTCCAGAGTGCATCCTTGCAGGACCGCTGATCGACACCCTCTCCACCAAATAGAACAGCTGTCCCCGGGTCACTAAGGCACATGGCATGGCACCACCGTGGGCTGGGACTGCCTGGGGAGGGGAGCGCACAGGGCTGTGAGCAGAGTCAGACAAGGCGCCCCTAGCTCCCTCCTTCCCTGCTGGGGAAAACAAAGCCACTGAAGGCTCAGAGGGCAGAAATGGGAAGGCAAGGGCCCCAGGTCCCTTCCCTCTGGGGTGGCAAGAGACAGTTCCCCGAGGAAGATTTTCTGTTGGCTTTGGGGAATAACTGCTGTACTAGGAGAGACATTGCTAGCAGAGGGAGCCAGCAAAGAGTCTGGCTGGGTGTAGGACGCATACAGGCTGCCACTTCAGACAGGCTCGGATGCCCCCCCATTGACCACCCATCCCCAGAAGGGATATGCCAGTTGTGCTAACCCCCTGTGTGACTCCTTGTGAGGGACGGCTACCCAGAGACAGCTTGTTAGTGCCCGAGATACAGCAACCAGAAGCCTGGAGCTGCTTCCAGAAATATTCCTCATACTGCTCTGTTCCTCCTCCTCTTCTCTCCTAGGCCCCTGCAGTTGGCTGAGCAAGCTAAAAAAATACGTTTTAATCGAAGTCTGTTCCACATCTTACCCTTTGCCTCAAAGGACTATGCACCCAGAGGTGTGCCTGAGATTCAGACGGGCTACAGAAGTGTGTTGGAGAGCCTAACAGTACCGGAAGCATCTATTCTAAGGGCAATTGTATGGAGAGAAACAGTATATACACACAACCTACTTGATATTCTTGATCGCTGGGGATATAAAGGATGAAGCATGAGAGGCCTGAGACATTAAAGGGAATGGCATCACCAACTGGCTGAAAAGACAAACCAGGGTCTAGGAACCAGATCCTCACCTCGCAACTCCTCCACCGCCAGATCTACAGAGGGAACACAGAGATGGCCTGATAAAGAAAGCAGTCAGCAGATATACCACAGGAAGTGCTTGGCTCCACGGGCTAAGAGCCCTTTGGCCTTCCTTCCTCCAACCCCCAGCACAAAACTACCTCATTGCAACAAACAAGGTGCAAGACCAAGAATCCTGAAGAAAGTCTCATCTGAAGAAATGCAGAAGACAGGCAAGAGCAGGGCACACTTCCTTTGCCATCATGCTGTTACCATTGCGCTTTACCCCTCTGATGGAAGCTCATTTCCCCCTTTCTCACACTGCCTACAGTGGAAGTGACTATATGATGGAGCCATATTTGCCTTTGTAAGAAGCAAGCCAAGTCCCAAGAAGTCACTTCACATGGGGACCACTGAGTTATGTTAAACATTTACACACAAACTTGGTCACACCCTGGAGCTGACTTGGAATTCACACTCCAGAAGCTAAAGGTTTTGTTTCCAACCCCTTGGCAGCTACCTTCTCACCACTGACAACTCAGTACCATTATACTAATTACACATATATTCCTTTTCATATTCTCTATGCTTGAATAATAACCAATGTCTTCTATGGACCAAGTGGTATGCTGTTAGCAGGGGAACAAACAGACAAATGGAGAGGTTACAGAACATCACAGTAGGTAACTTGCTTGTGCCTCAGTTTACTCTTTTGTAAAACAAGGCTAATGATACTTGCCTTCATTTATAAAGCACTTCTACTCATATGAAGAGATATGCATGTTATGTTATGGTACAGAGTGTTGGCAAGTTCTGTTTCTGGCCTTTTTCCAACAGGCAAAAATTCATCAAGTGGTTTATTCAGGACCAAGGACCATTCTCGGTATTTTGCAAGGCAAGACAGGCAAGCCCATCTTGCCTTGGAGGTATACAGAGAAATAGACTGGGAAGTCGTTCCCCAGCAGCATTGACAGATTGTTCAGGCAAGACCCGTAAAATAAGCCTGGAAGCTGCCAGAGTTACCTTCCTCCTCGAGATCTCTCTCAGATGCTGTAGGTTCAAATAAAACTTTCCTGAGCTTCTTGGGGTGGACAGGACTCTTCCTCCCAGCCTCACTGGCTTCCACCTTGCCAGATGGTGGCTTCAGGGCACAGGGTACTGCCAGGGCCCTCAGTGGTGGGCAGACATCCTTCCTCCCAGGCCTAGATGCTCTAGCAGTCATCTCTGAGCTCTGATTCTCAACCTGTGACAAGAGTCCCAGTCAAATCAGCCCTGAGGCTACTGTCAATTGTCTATTACTGGGGCAGAGATTAGTTTCACATGGTGACTGTTTTCAGGCTCCCATTGTTTTCAGTCTTCCCATTGAGCCTTAAGGGCCAGCATGCCAACAGTATCAGCTGCCAAATATATTTTGAGGAATGCAGCTACCTGCTGCTATATGCCCAGTGGTCGTCTGCTTTCATGCTGCTGGCTGCAATGGGTACAGCTAGCACAAGGCAACTGGAAAGGCAGAAAGGCCATCTGTGCTAGGAGCAACTAGGCTGATCAATCATCCCACCGAGGGCTGTTAAACTCAACCCTTCCAAAGGCATTTCAATGGAGAGTACCACTTTCTTTAGCACAAGTGAATCTTTGGCTCCGAAACTTAGTCAGGTCTCCACTAAGAGAGCAGCAGCAAATGTTTCTGCTAGACATCAACTGAGCCGCTACAAGTGAGGGAGTAGATACTAAGGAGAAGGTGAAATAAGGAGAGGAGGGCTCAGGATACACATACCGCAGTAGGATCCTCCAGGTCCTGGCCAAGGGGTATATCATCTGCTGGGAACACTGGTGACTGGGTGGTCTCTGGGATGAGGAAGGGGTGGGCAGGCGTACTGCTGGAGAAACCTCGGAGCAGCTGCGGTAGAAATACTGACAGTGAGGATAAAAGGACACACAGAGTGTGCTGGCCTCCATCCACAAAGGGTGAGCAAAATCATGTCTTGCAAGGGACAGATTCCCTACAAGGGAATAGCGCAGTTTTCATCTCCAGCACCAACAGAATAAACAAAGAACAGCAAAGACAGGCACTGGGAGATGCTAAATCCAAGGGCTTCAGTACAAGGTAAAACCACTGTGTAAGTACCAGCGACCCAGGAGAGAGTGGAACGGGAAGGGAGCCACTCTCTGCTGCCCATTTCCAGCAACAGATGAGGTGTTTTGGCGAAGCTGTGTTTAGGGAATAGGCCTGGAGCATCACAGAGCGTTTAGGCTCATCACAGACGTGCATGAACAGATCTGCATGAGGCAGCTCTGCCTTGGAGTAGCAAAGAGAAGGAAAAGGAGAGGATGGGAAAGGAAGTTCTGTAGCTCAGAAGTAACAACATTTGGGACCCAGGGGGCAGGAGGAGAGGAGGATGTTGGGTTTTTTACCTGTCCTTTGACAGTCAGGACAAGCTTCACAGAGTTGCCTTTGTCCATCTCTTTCAATGAGGCCATGAAAATATCTGTCCTCCAGTCACCTTCCCACACCAGGGACCTGCATAGGGGACCACGTTTTTTTCAACCCACAAGTGACACTGACCAAGGAAAAATTCCTGCTCCCACACTAGCTGGTGACACCCCAAAGCCAAAAAAGATCCAGCCCTGAAGGCAGCCGAAAGGAAGCTGAAAGCATCACTAAGAGAGAAACACCGTGGTGGAGGACTGGCAAGCCTGAGCAGCTTTGGGACAGCACCAGCAGAACCGGGCAGTACGACAGAGCAGAAAGCTTTTCCAGGACACCCCTCCTGACACCCCAGCAGCACCAGCGTGACCTGCGGGCGGGCTCCAGCGTGCCGACCCGCTGTGGCGCGATGCCTGGGGACACCAGCACGTCTGCCGTGACGCTTGTGTCCAGAGAGTAACAGCTCCAGTCTCCTAGCCCAAACACCACCAGCTGCTTTGGCAAGGGCAGGGGCAGCCAAGCCTGGAAACCCATCTTGCTGGACTGACTGTGAGGGAAGAAAACCAGCAGAAAACAAGAGATAATCATCAAGGAGTAAAATGGAAGGTCAATATATATATA